AAAAAAAAAAAAAAAAAAAAATGAATCCCAAGACCGTAGACCCGGAAAAACCCAAAGCTCTAAGCCTGTACAAACCTCCCCACGCCCATACTTCCTCACCCAAACAAATATAAATCCCAAGAACCGTAAGCCCTAAACCCAACGTTGTTCGAAGTGTCTAGTTCAAAATCCTTCTTCAACCCAAACATAAAGCCCCCATCGCCTTGACGCCCTAACCCCCTAAACCAGCAAAACCTAAAATCCTTATAAGCCCCTAAACGCAAACCCCTACACCCCTAAACCCTAAACCCTGAGCTGCCCCAAAAGCCCAAAGCTTTTCGAACGAGGTCCTTGGGCTGCCTATCACCGACCGGCAGGCGTGGAGCCGTTTTGGGTTGATCGTTAAGGGCTTTCATGGGGGCCTTGCGTGGTCTAATGGGATGTGTAGGGCTTCAGGGCATGGGGGCCTAGGGGCTTGCGTTTAGGTTTTAGGTCCTAGGTTTGAACTGAGGGTTTAGGGTGCAAGGGGGGTGTCGGTTTCAGTAGTGCTCGGGGTATTGGGATTTCGGAGCGGGGTATCAAAAGTCAGACACATTACACTCGGAAGATCACGTGGTTGATGCACGGAGCAACTCCGGCTATTGAGACAGGACCAGGGTCTTGAAAGCTTGGATATCCCGTAAAGGGGGTTGCTGGAGACGTTATCGGGGGTTCTACACAGACTCACCTGCGGCTATGATGGCATCGGGACTTCGATGGATAGTGGAATGGGGCTAGTGGACATAGGTTAGGTCCACCACATACAGTTTAAGGTTCACTGGAACCCTACACCGTAAAGCCATATAGCAACTCTTTCGTGGGGAGGGTTGCAGACGTTTCCGGGATTTGTCGATGTTTCGGATGAAAGTAGGGTGATCTCGCATCAAGACCCCTTACCCCAAACCCTAAACCTTATATGGGTGGTTGTCAAAATCATGGTCCCTTTTTGGGTCCTTATTATAATACGGCACCTATTATTTAGGGTACCCCAAAAGGGACCATCATTTTGACAACTACCAATATAAGGGAACCTTAGTCCTATCTAGGCTTCTTCATCCGTGGAGGCGCCTCACTTCTGGGGCTTCTGAAACCCTAAACCCTCAACCCTCAACCCTAAACCCTAAACCCTAAACCCTAAACCCTACAACCCTACAACCCTACAGCCCTAAACCCAAAAGTTGAGGGTTTCGGAACCTCTCCATCCCGGGAGTCCGGAGTGAAATCTGAACCCTCAGCCCCTAAAGCCCAACCCCCGAAAGCCTCGAACCCTGAAAGGGGTTTAGGGTTTAGGGTTTACGGTTTAGGGGTTTAGGGTTTTGGGGTTTAGGAGGGTTTAGGGTCCCTAAAGGCAGACCCCAAAGCCCTAACTTCGTAGCAGAGTAGGTAGTTTTTGCCTGCAAAGTCGGGGGGATCAGAATTTTGAGGAAGGTTTACCCCTTCCCCGAGGATGCTGCAGCTAAAAAACACTGAATCTAGGACATTTTCTGGTGGGTAGTTACCGTTATAGGAGCCTTATAGAAGGTCTACCTTATGGAAGCCTTATAAGCTTTATAGAAGCCCTATATGCCCTAAACTCCCCACCTGTAGTTTCCTTTAACTGAACCCAAAGTTTCTTGATTCTTCAACTCCTGGCATCAGGGTTTAAAGTTCAGGGTTTCAGGGAGAAGAGTAAAACGCTCAGGCGCAGATGACGCCACGAACGCCTCGGGACGAGGCTCACGTCTTTTTCAGGGAGGCGTCGTAGTACAGGGGTCGGGAGAATTAGTACTGCTAGTGTCCTGGGTTCTAATGTAAATTTTCCCAGACCCAATTCGTGCCCTTTTGCTTGGCCTCTCTTAGAGAAACGTTTAGGTTGATGAAACTATTTTTCGTCCCGGTTTTTGAATCTGATCAGTATCGGAACATGCAACTTCCAGGAGCCAACATGTAAAATGCTCTGCTGCCGTGTCCGGGGGTCAATTCCGAATGCCCCGGCCCGTCTTGCTTCAATCGCGCACACACACACACACACACCGTGTGTGTCTCTCTCTCTCTCTCTCTTTCTCCCCCGCTCTCTGTCAACGTCACTCTCACCGAACCTCTGACTAACTCTAACTGTCACCTTCACTCCCTAAACCCCTAAACCCTAAACCCCTAAACCCTAAACCCTGAACCCTCACCCTCAGTTTCCCTCTCGCTCTCGCTCTCCCACAGGTCCGAGCCTAAGGTTTCTGCAGTGGTGCCCAGATGGGACAGTATGAGTAATTAGCTGCGATCTACTCTAACTGTAACTTAGCTTTTCATCTTTTGGTCATCTTTTCTGCAGATTTTTATCTTTGTAATGACCTTCCCATCAGCCTTTAGTTGCATTTCATTCTCGTTTTTTATCCAATGAATGATTCCAGGATATCAATGCGAACCAGCTTTATACAAGATGTCAAGAAGGTCCTGGGATGTTAGGATACGATAAGTACGATAACTATATAGGTAGTTCGCTAAAGTTAGGGTCCCGTTTAGGGTCCTTTGTATAAGGGTGCCGTACTATATTTGGGACCCAAAAAGGGACCACAATTTAGACAGCTACTCATATGGGGACCACAATGGGATGTTGTAGCTAGTTGGTAATGACAGGTTTAGGCCAGGCGACTGTCTTTTCGCGCATGGAGGCACGCAATAATCTGCTAGAGCTTCCCCAAAGATCTCGAGGCGAAGCCTGTAATCCTCAGCTCAGATGAATTCCCTAAACACTAAACCCTAAACCCCTAAACCCCTAAACCCCTAAACCCTAAACCCCAAAATAATCGAAAACTCTCAGCCCTGAGACCCTGCAACACCATGTCCCGAAGCCCGAGGAATAGGCAGCACCAAACCGAACCGAACGCCCTAGAGCCCTACCCAGAGAGATCCGACTAATCATTACCTCTTAGTCTCTATGTAACTTTGGCCGTTCTAAGTATTCAGCGCCTCAGCGCGACCGCTCAATCGTTCAGGATAAGCCGCAGTCACCGCAGTGCATGACCAGCACCGCTCCCGGTGGCTGCAAGGGGAGAGAAATGGGGTTTCCGAAAATAGGGGACCCTCATATAGTACCCTAAATAGTAGGATCCTTATTATAAGGACCCCAAAGTAAGGTACCCCAATTTTTCGGAAACTCCCAAATCAAGATCTGGGGTTGCTTTAGGGCTTCTGCTCAAAATTCGGGGCATGAGGGTCAGGGTTGCTGAGGGGTTGCAGGCTTTGCGGCTTGCAGCATCGACTTAGAAGGATCCTTAAACATGGTAAGTTGAAGTTTAGGAACCCTCATAATGCTTAGATCGGGGCTTAGATCGGCCTGCAGAGCCGTAAGTGACCCCGGCATGATGCCATCAGGTTCCGACATTCCGAGAAAAGACAACGACCTGAGACCCAGAGAAAGAGCAGAAACAATGAGGTGAGACCTCAGAGCCCGAAACACGAAACGACCTAAGAAACAGGGGCCTAAAGAATTTCCAATACTATTTTGGGGGCTCCTTCTTACAATTATAGAATAATGGGCCCCAAAACGCTATTCTAAGATTATTAAGGCCTCTAGGTTAAGACACACTCACTCTTACACTTCAGGCACTTCTAGACCCCAGAAACCCTAAACCCCAAACCCTAAATTTGTCAGTTTATTTTTTTCCCTTCCGAGGTCCTGCTCCGCAAGTGGCCAGCGACCCACAGGACGGCACTTCTCGGAGCTTTTGCCAAGCCTGTTTGGCGTCGTTCGCAATAATGTTTAGGGTTTAGGGTTTAGGGTTTAGAATGAATTAATGTAGAGGCCTCAATAATTAGAATAGGGTTTTGGGGTCTATTATACTATAATCATATTAAGGAACCCTTCGCGATAGTATTGGTAATTATAACGAAGCCCCTATAGGGACCCTAAACCCTAAACCCTAAACCCTATATATTATGTTGGGAAGGTCAAGAACTTGACGGGTTAGGGGTTCGAGGCGTGCAGACAGTAGGCCTGAGACTGCACAATCTTTGGGCTCCGATGTCAGCCTTGAGCCGCAATCCGTGACTTAGGGTTTAGGGTTTAGGGTTTAGGGCGCTCAGATGCTCGGAGGCAAAGCCTGCTTTTGGGAGGTGGTTGGGAGGGTTTTTGGTGGAATTCGCCCCTCAGCGCAAGGTACTAGACTAATTCCCGGTGAGGCACCCTCAACCAGCAAAACAACAACGACAAAGAGAGAAAGGGCTTTTGCATCTGCACACGTACATCACCATACAGCCCCAAAGCCCTAATCAAAGCTCTAAAGCCCTGAAGACGAGGGTTTTGCTTGGGCCTTAGGAGGAGGGCGGCGTAAGCATCTCCCGGCCGACAGACCAAGAGGCTGGGAACAAGAAAGGATTAGGGCTTGGGGCGTTTGGGGTTTAGGGAGGGCTGTGTGTCGGTTTTAAGTGGTTTTCTAGGTTTTAAACTATTACATCTGATGTTTAGAGTATTTACATGACAGCATTGGAAAATTTTCACACAACGGTGTTGTGCTGGCTTGTGTGCGTTTTATGCATGTCGTGGTTAGTTGCTTAGGTGTTTTGTGACTAGCGGCTGAGGTGTTCAGTAGTTTTGGTCCTACCGTTTGGCTTAGAGTCTCGGGCTTAGTGGGGTGTCTATATATACACACATAAATAATATGTAAAGATATATACATACATACCCTATTTTGCATTCATGTGTGTATAAATATATGTAAGCACATGTGTATGCATGTAGGCATGCATGTATGCATGAATGCATGCATGTATGTATGTATGTATGTATGCATGTATGCATGTATGTATGTATGCATGCATGCATGCATGTATGCATGCATGTGTGTACGTATGTCGGTTTGTTTGTATGTGTGCATGTATGTATGT